TATTGATACTGTGTGGGACACCATTCACCAAAGAAGAAGAGAAATAATAGTTGTTAACCACACAAATGAATATATTTTAATTCAGAAGCATTACCTGCCAAGGTTGCAGATCCTGAAGGACCTCTTTTAGGCCATCTATTTTTCCTCGGTGATTGGATCTGGATAGGTAAGAGGCATGCAACGCATGGGCCACAGCATAGACAGCATTATAAATGCCATAGCTGTGTCCACTCAAGCGCATTTCAAAAAGAGACCCAATGAGGCTATCCAACTTCTCTTCCCCAGTGCATGTTCCAGAGACCTGGTACCCCATCCTCGGGTCTGGAAATGAACAATCAAACGCCTCCTCCCAAAACAATTTGAGAAAATTATCTGCTGCTGTCCAATCTAATTTGATGGTGTGGAGAAATCTCTGGAACCCCGGAACTTCCTTAGACTGAAGCATAAAGGAAAGGGCCCCTTGGAAGACTTGCATATCTTTATTCCAGCCAAGGCTTGATTGTACAAAATCGGCCTGAGCAGTTGTAATCCACACTTTTCCAACCAACTGGAGCTCAACTGGAAGAATGTTATGGGTACCAAAATACCGCAGCCACATAATTGTAAGAAATGTTCCGTAGAGTACGTGTATTCTAATTTGGGGTACATTAAATATCTGATACAGAAAACTGATCATATAATGTTGTTCTTTGGACTCATGAAAACGTTGCTGGTTTGGGATTTTACTAGTGAAGGCTGTGCAGATTCCATTTTGGGAAAGCAAAGGCTCCATGGTCTCCAAAAACCGTTCTCCACTGTCATCATCCACTACAAAGAGCCCCACCCACCTCCATCCGAAATGCTTAAGTAAACTGATAATCCCTGTATACTGAAGGTCTTCATTGGTAACCATGGGATAAAAAGAAGGAAGCTGTTCCATCTCATTCTTGGCCGGGAGAAATGAACCATATGTGAGCTGTAAATTTGAAAATGTATTGGAAAAAGATAACACATGTTTTCATTCAGTACTATGTTACCATACCTTGGGTATGGAATAGCCTGCATTCACCAGGAAGTTGCTCCTGGCAGTCTTCGTAACATCCAGGGACATCTAGTCCTTATCAAAAGGTAAATTGGGTTAATCCAGTCTAGTCCCCCATTAAAGGAAGACAGGGCATTCTATGGAGTTTGATTGAAACTCTAAATCAATGGTTTTCAACCTGTGGGTACCCAGGTGTTTTGGCCTACAACTCCCAGAAATCCTAGTCAGTTTACCAGCTGTTAGGATTTCTGGGAGTTGAAGGCCAAAACATCTGGGGACCCACAGGTTGAGAACCACTGCTCCAGAGCAACTCTGCAGTTTAAGCATACTGTATGAAGCATGACTGGATTGGTCTGCTGTCAAATTGGTTGCCACTGTCACCCCCTTTCCCCTGTGCTTATCATTGCAAGAAAAAGGGAACAGCAGTGGTGATGGCAACAGTGAGGATAAGGTGATGGTACAGAATGGCTGAACTGGTCTTGCCATATGTAGACTCTGTCCCTCCATGGATTGGGAATGGAGTGTGCAGTTGTCTCTGGGGCCAGCTCCAGACTGGCCATAATATGGGAGTGTCCAAGTTGTTTAAAATAATAAAGCAACAACCTCAGCATAATAGGAATCAAACAGAGAGATATTAGAATACTAATGGAGAAAAGCTTTTCATTGGGAAAAGAAGAGAATTGCAGCATATAGTTATTTCCTGAGGAAGCATCTAGAGAGATCTTAGGAGACCTCTTAACACAGAGGTTCCCAACTTGTGGTCCATGGTTCGCAAGAACTAAAATATGGTCTGTAGCCTCACTGTTACTACATTCTGCAATGCTCCATGGAAAATGCACCCATGACGAGGAGGCAAGAGAAAGCCATTAGAAATAGTTTCTTGGGTTTTGCGCTCCATTTTTTGCATTTTTTTCATCCTCAACACACACCCTCCACACCCCCCACACACACACTTTTTAAAAATGAGCATTAACAAAATCCATGGATAGTAACACAGACCAACCAAAATTTTTGTTTTATTGGTGTCTTTAGGCCTGTTCTTGGGGTTATTTGGGGTGCTGATTCAGAAAATTGCATTGGATAGTCCACATCAACTCTAGATTATTAAATATGGTTTTCTGTAGGCAAGCAGATTGTGACTACTGGGTGGCATACGATCTGTATCAGAAACTAGAGCTGATGTGGTCTATCCAGTGCAGTTTTCTGAATCAGCATCCCAAATAACCAAACAAATCTATAGTTGACCAAAAACTGGGTTGTAACTCTGTTGGTACTAATGTTGGAGAGTGATCCCTGGTCAAAGATGTCCCTGGTCAAGTGGTCAAAGAAATTGGGAACTACTATCTTAACAGGACAGAAGACTTCAGTTACAACAGTACCCTAAGTGTAACTTTGCTCAGCAAGCCTGTTTTTGAATGGAGTGCAAGGATTTGTTTTGTAGCCCTTAGACTTAACAAGTCCCTGGAGAATCTCTTGCTTGTTTCACCTGGAGAGAGAAGACGGGGAACTAACCCCTTCAGATCTCAAATAAGTTGGTTCACACAGTTTGAGTTCCCTCCCTGTTCGTTCCACTCTTCACCAGTAAATAGAAGAAACCAGGAGTGATTTGACTGCGTTCTTCCATAACAGAGGTTGGGCTGCATAGACTTAATGGTGTCTTTCAACTCTCCCCCTCCCAGGCTTGATAACTTCAGAAAAAAATGAGCTGGGATGGAAAAGGCCAGAGGATAGTCCCTTGTGTTCATCAAAAGGGGAAACATCTGGGGATAGACCTGGAACTTTGTCTATATCCTATACCAAGCAGATGGATCATGGAGTTCACAGAGCCCACGGTGGTGCAGTGGGTTAAACCCCTGTACCGGCAGGACTGAAGATCAACAGGTCGCAGGTTCGAATCCAGAGAGAGGCGGATGAGCTCCCTCTATCAGCTCCAGCTCCTCAAGCGGGGACATGAGAGAAGCCCTCCCACAAGGATGATAAAAACATCAAATCATCCAGGCATCCTCTGAGCAATGTCCTTGCAGATGGCCAATTCTCTCACAGCAGAAGTGACTTGCAGTCACTCCTAACACAACAAAAAAAATATGGAGTTCTTGATGGGTGGAACTCCATGATCCACCTGCTTGGTATAGGATATTGATTTTTGTTTATCACCTTCTAGAAACATATTTGTGCAAACAATTATTGTCCCTTATAGCAAACAAAAACTCATTCATAGAAAATGTGGCTAAGGCTTTCTCATGAGCTGACTTGTACTTGGGTGAAATTTGTGTTCTCTTCTATAGCAGTTTTCCAAAAAATGACAGTATTTTATCTATTCTGAATATACCTTCAAAGGTACAATACATGCTCCATAGGGCAGCCTCCTGTTCACCAAACTGAACACCAACTACCCCAGTCTCAAAAAATTCAACATACCATGTTCCAAAGAAGCATTCACCACTCAGCCTACCCTTTTGTTTGGTCTTCCCTGGCCACTCTGAGTGGGAATAACACATATATAGTGTTCCTCATCTTTCCAATCATCATGTTCTTTCACCTGTAGAAATCCTGCTTCTTCTGTCACGTGTTTTTAACCTCCTTTTATTTGTTCTTGTTTAGAAGACCAAACACGTAAATCAACTCATTTCCCACTCTTTATTGGTAAAGTGTAAAAGAGGGTGAGAAGAAAGAGTAGGAACACATCACCCTTGTGAACCCTGTGTACAGAACCTACCTGTGGAATCTTGTAGAGGGTTAAGAGATCTGCCATGTAGAAGGAGGTCTTGGAGTCAAGTGCCCCAATGATGGCAAATGGCATATTTTGCATTTCACAGTTATAATTGAGGACCAATCTACGTGACATGAAGATAAGTGCCAGTATGGTATGGCAGGTCCAGTGTATATCATTGTAGTTGTCATAGATGCGGAATCCAAGGTGACATTGGGTAAGATGTTGACATTCTCATTTATCTCCTTTACAGCAAAGACCAAGGATAAGATATGCTGATAGAATTTTGTGAACACCCTGAAAAAGGAATTACATACAACCTGTACAACGAATGGAATTTGAAACCACTTTAACTGCCATGACTAAATGCCATATAGGGGTGCACCAGTACTCTTTGGCAGAGAAGTCTATAAAGACCTTGTAAAATGACAACTCCCATTGTATTGAGCCATGGTAGTTACAAGTGGTGTCAAACTGCGTTAATTTTACAGTGAAGAGGCACCCTAAGATGATAAGGAATATTAAGAAACTCATCAAAAGGCAACAGGGAGACTTTACATTCATAGCCTATATATCTATATAAATAAAAATGTAATGTTCATTTGTGGGATCAACATAACTCAAAAACCACTGGACAAATTGCTGCCCAATTTGGCCACATGACACCTACTAGTATGTTCAACCCAAGGAGTGACCATCACTCAAAAGAATTGATTTTGTCATTTGGGAGTAGTAGTTGTTGGGGTTAGTTCACCTACAATCAAAGAGCATTCTGAACTCCACCAATGATGGAATTGAACCAAACTTGGCACACAGAACTCCCATGACCAACAGAAAATACTGGAAGGGTTTGGTGGGCATTGATCTTGAGTTTTGGAGTTGTAGTTCACCTATATTCAGAGACACTATGGACTCAAACAATGATGGATCTGGACCAAACTTGGCAAATACTCATATGCCCAAATATGAACACGGATGGAGTTTGGGGAATAGACCTTGACATTTGGGAGTTGTAGTTACTGGGATTTATGTTCACCTACAATCAAAGAGCATTCTGAACCCAACGACAGAATTGGGGCAAACTTCCCACACAGAACCCCCATGACCAACAGAAAATACTTAAGGCCATCCAATCCAACTCCCTTCACCAGGGCAAGAAAACATAATCAAAGCCCTCCTGACAAAGAGCCATCCAGCCATAGATATATATGATTCTGTCTCTCACACACACAGATATAGTATCATAGATTTGAAAGGGACCCCTAGAAGGACTATGATATGTTGCATGTTCCAGAGTAGGCAAACCAGACAATCTCTACATCAACACTGACAAAGAAACAACAAGAAATGCTGTTTACCCACAAGCATAAAGAAATAACATATATTAGAAGCCAGCACTTTCTCATTACTTTATTTTCCAAATCATCAGACTAGGCCACAGAAATGCATGGCAGGAGACAGCTTGTGTGTGTGTGTGTGTTGTCAGATGATCAATGTTCATAGAGGACAATAATTTGCTTCTAGTAGCACTTACTGTTTTTACTAGATTCACATGATTCAAGGGAAAATCAATTTCTTACGTTATAAGAGCAGAATATTCCTGCCGAGGGTCTTCCTTGAAAGAAAATGCAGGGATGTAGTAAAACAATTGACTAACAAGAGCACCAATCGTGAGGTCCCCAGACTGGTAGGACTCATACAGAAGAGAAGGAGGATCAAGCATGGGACATTTTTTTGTATCTACTCCACACAGCCAAAGGAGAAGAAGAAAAAACGTCAACAAGACTGACAATTCCCTCATTCCAACTGCAGATTCTCTCCTTAGATGCAAACCTTCCTAGTTACATCCATTCACAGCATCTGTGTAATTCAGAGTGATTGCTAAACATCCTGATAAGCTCAAGCCCACTTCTCTATGGCAGTAGAAGGAATAAATATATTCATTGTTACTGGAGGCTACCAATACACAGATAACATCCAGGTTATGCAATGGAAAATATCAAGTGGCAGAAATTTCGTGCTAATTCCCCAGTCCCATCATTTCTCTGCAGAAGTTATGGGGTTAGTATAGTCATGTCAGGATTGTTTTCTACCTTTGTAAACAGACTACTGGGTGCTCTGTCCTTGAGGAATTGAAATTGGAGCCTTTTGGATAATTGCA